CCGTTGGGAAGGGGCAGGTGGACGGCAAGCAGAAGCCACCCACGGAGGGAGCCCCAGAAGCCAAAGCCACCTCACTGAGCCGCAGCTCCAGACAGAGCAGCCGGGTCGCAGCACTGGCCCCTGCCCAGCTCTACAACCTTCTGGCGACACTGGCTTTCTGCCCTGCTCCCTGTCCTTGGGATCCTTCTCATTGTCCTTTAAGGAGCTACAACACTGCGCTAGATATTTTCCTTAGCTTTACTTTCTGGCTTTTGACATCCAGCTCAATATGTTGGGAGGTTCCCGCCAGGAAGTAAGTCACATGCCAATGCATGACACTATACACGGAATTTCAATGGCTTGTAGGAAGACGTGAAATGTGTTTTTAAAATTTAGTACATGAGAGAACAATGTGTCCTCCATGAAGCAAAGCCTCCTGTGAGAGCGTGGCTAAATAGTGAACGCACTGCCCTCGATCAGCACATAGATCTACGGAGGAAGCCGCTCCCATAGCGGAGACGCGCCCACACCGGGTCTGGGACACACTGGGATGCAGGCACAGCCAGGCAAATGAAGTGACCGCATGGAGTGACCACAGGGGCTCTGAAAACGCTCCCTTCCCCAAACGCGCCACATCGTGTGAGCCGAGCTCAGGAGGAGACAGACTCCTCCACACCTCGAGGTGTCACCCACTACTGAGCCTCATGACCAGGAGGAAACAGAGACGCAGACGACAGGGCAGCAGAGAGCAGGGGGCACATGGGCGGGAATGCAATGACAGCTCCGGGGGAAACACTGTGTTAGGTGAGGGACCCCAAAGGGCGTGGGCAGACGCACATCTGTGTGTTTGTACGCATGTGCATGTGTATATCTGTAGGCACTTGACATGTGTGCACATTGCTGTATGTGTGGTAATGTGTGTGTGCATCTGTGTGCATGTACATGGATGTGGGGGAATGTACATGGATGGATATGTGGGTGTGCACATGCGGTCCTGTGTGCACACTGGTGCCTGTGTTGCTGAACATGTGTGCATATCTATGTGTGTTTGTATATATGTGCACATGGATGTATGTGTGTTGGTGTTAGCGTGCACATATCTGTTCAGGTATGTGTGTGTTTGTACATGTGTGCATCTGTGAGTCCACGCGTGCTCATTTGTGTGTGCATATGCATGTGTGTGCGTATGTGGAGTGAAGCAGGCTCTGAGGGTGGCACGCCAGAGCTCTCACAGTAAGGACTGTTACAGGCAGATCGGGAGCAGCAGAGCAGAATCTAAATTACACCAAACCACCCACCTTCACGCTCACGTGCAGGTGACCTGGGCCCTGTCCCACACATGGGCACCACCAGACCATGAGTCCTCGCACACAGCTGCAAAAGGAGGGGTGACACACGCCAGTGGCCTAACACCGCCACCTGGGTCAGCTGGTGCTCACTGAACACACAGACCCCGAGCCCAGCCCCAGTCCCTGTCAGACACGGGGACGCTGTTCCAGGCGTGTATAGGAGGCAACCGATACAGGTTGCTCTCTACAGTCGATGTTTCTCTCCTCTCTCTCTAAAAAAAAATCAATAAAAACACATCTCAGGGGAGAATTGAAAAAAGAAACTGCTTTGGCCTGCACCAGACTTTCACAGGCACTGAACATGAGACGGCATGCCACCCAGTCACCAGGGGGCTTCACTGGATTACTATGGTTCTGCATGACCCCAGCCATAATGCGGAGGAAATGTGTCTCCCCAGCCGACTCGCTCTGACCCACAGACCTGCCAGCAGCTGGCCACCTACCTCACCTTCACTCTCCAACCCTCACCCTCACCCCCACCCTCTAACCCTAACCCTAACCCTAACCCTAACCCTAACTCTAACCCTAACCCTAACCCTCATCTCCACTCTCAGCCTCAGCCTCACCCTTACCCTTAAACCATAACCCTCACCCTCTAACCCTCAGCCTCACCCTCACCCTCAGCTTCCCCAGCTCCCGTGAGGCTGGCTTCTGCAGGAGCTCGGTGCTCCCACCCTCCTTGTCCTGATGACCCGCCTCATCCGCCGTCCCCCCGCGGCCTGCCCTGCAGACTTCCGGCCCAGGCGCAGACCACAGCCTGGCTAAGACACTCAGCGGCTCCCCCACCTGTGGCCGGCCAAGCCCCATAGCTAATCACGGACAGGACCTGAATGCACCCGCTTCTGCTGAGCCCGGCCACTCAGCACTGCCCGGCCCTTAAGAAGCCACGCGCACTGCGGACACCGCCGGGGGAGCCCCGCCAGTTCTGTTCCCCTCACTCACTGGACCACACACGTCTTCCTCTGGAGCCACACACAGCCCGCGAGAGCCCAGGACCCACAGTGGCATGGATGCCCCACTCCAGGCCTGGCCACCACACGAGGCTTCGCCCCACAAGCCCCTCCCATCACTCCCCTCACGCTGAGCTGGATCGGCCTGAGCCCCCCACACACTGAGCCGGATCGGCCTGAGCCCCCCACATGCTGAGCTGGATCGGCCTGAACCCCCCACAGGCTGAGCTAGGAAGTGAACTGAGTGCATAAACCATATATTTAATCTGATGGCTATTAATACAAATAATTCTGTGTAGTCCAAATCTAATCAAAAGTGGGTGAATATTTAATCAATATTCACCCCCCTACATGCTGAGCTGGGTCGGCCAGAGGCCCTCTCCCCGCCACGCTGAGCTGGGTCGGCCTCTGGTCCAGGATCGTGCATATGTGAATTATAAATAACAGTTCTACATCATAATGTTCAAGTTATTGAAAATTAAAAATTATCTGAGCAAACAGTTAACAGGACTCCCCTGTGAAGAATTGTAGGACGACAATTTGCCCACAGCGGCAGAGAGGTGACTGCTTTTCTCCATGATGGGCGGTGGGGCCGGACGGCCCCCCGGTGAGCAGCCCCCACCTGCCCACCGGCCCGCGAAGCGCTGCAGAGCGACTGTGGATCTGCACACCACAGCCTCCCGCCCGCCTCTCCCCCGGGCGCTGCTGCTCCAGCCTCTTCTCCCCGCCACTAAGTCGGTCCTATTTCCTCGCGACACTCAGAATTCTGAGAAGCAGAGTGTCGCTGAGCACTGAGCACTGCGGGGACAGCGGCCCCGGGAGCCCCCTGGCTCCATTCCTGCCTACCTGCGCGGGACAGCTGCAGCAGGGCGGCCCTCAGACGCTGTTGGGCCCCCGGCGACACCTCATAGTGGTAGACATCTGTCACCGGAACCTTCTGGCACCTTCCAAACACTCCGTCTGTGAGAAAAAGGGAGACAGAGAAGAGAAAGTGATGCTTCCTTTTCAGAGAGGAGGAAGGCATTACACCCTCACTGCACCGTGGCCAGGCTTCGCAAGGGCCTCAGGGCATCATCACAGCCCTCAGATGTCAGGGCACTGGGAGAGCAATGGCTTATCTGAGTAAGGACAGTGTACCATGGGCCATGGGCTGTGAGAGTGGGCCGTGGGTGTGGGCCGTGGGTGTGGGCCGTGGGTGTGGACCTGGGCCGTGGGTGTGGACCTGGGCCGTGGGCTGTGGGGAACAAAGGCAGAGCTGGAGAGAGGCTCAGGAACCCAGTGCCACTGGGGTTTTTTATTCGCGTTCCCATCCCCACCTCCCCACCTCCCCACCTTCCCGCCCCTCACTTTTTGTAACTTCCAGGCAGTAACATTCAGGACTGGTTTTTCAGATGAGGAACAGAACCCCCGGGAAGTGTAATGTCAACGTGCAGAAGCCACAGGCCCCTGGATGCCTCCCACAGTGCCACGCAGAGGGCTGACGTGGGTGGCCTGCACACCAGCAGGGCGAGGGCTGTCTGAGAGCCCAGCAGAGGTGCTGGCCGAGCAGGGCGAATTCCGGGACCATCCCAGCTCCGCCCTCTGTCCGCATCCCTCCCAGCCACACCCCGTTCCTCGGGCCCTGGAACCACTGGCTGTGAGACAAGCTTCCTGTAGGGCTCCACACATTCAAATCGCCACCTTCCCCACCCAAAGGCCCAATGGGGACCGTGCTGCCCACACAGGGTGGCCATCAGCAGCTTCGGCCAGATGGAAACGCGTCGCTGCCGGGGCAGCTGAAGAAAGCATCACTCGCACAAGTCCAATTAGCAGCCGCGCACTGCCGGGGGCGCACATGTGCTGGGACCAGCCGTGGGCAAACTACGGCCCGCGGGCCGGATCCGGCCCGTTTGAAATGAATAAAACTAAAAAAAAAAAGACCATACCCTTTTATGTAATGATGTTTACTTTGAATTTATATTAGTTCACACAAACACTCCATCCATACTTTTGTTCCGGCCCTCCGGTCCAGTTTAAGAACCCATTGTGGCCCTCGAGTCAAAAAGTTTGCCCACCCCTGGCTTGGACAGATGACCCTGTCCTTAGCAGAATCATCTGAAGTGTCACATGCACCACTGGGACTTCTGTGGGACTTTGCAAAGCCCGTGACTCAGCACACCTCTAACCACAGTGCACGGAGGAGTGCACCATCTGCCGGTCCACAATTCACGCATCTGCCACCCACCCAGAGGTGGTGCCAGCGCCTACAGGGAGGGTCTCATCCCCACGCCGCCAGCACGCTGGCCTGTCTGCGGCGAGCACACCCCCCACAAGTGCCCGGTTCTCTGGTTTGGTTTTGTGCCAAGGACTCTGTGCCTGTGGGTGGTGTGCTTGTGGGGGGCACAGACAGGAGTGGGAGAAAGAGGGCAAAGAGGAAATGCTCTCTTCAGAATGTCCTGGAAGCTCCCGCTTTCCTTGTCAAATGGAAATATTGTGACAGTTGAATCGTAGTGTGGGGACCAGAAAGAGCACTGAGAGGGCCCAGCCCACATGGTATAGATGGGGAAACCGAGCTGGAGTGTGGGGACGAGGCCGTGGGGGGCCGGCAGCTGACCGCGAGGCCGTGGGGGGGCCGGCAGCTGACCACAAGGCTGGGGGGGCGGCAGCTGACCGCGAGGCCGTTGGGGGGCGCTGGCAGCTGACCACGAGGCTGCGGGGGGCCCTGGCAGCTGACCACAAGGCTGGGGTGGGAGGCACTGGCAGCTGACCTTGAGGCTGGGGGGGGCCAGCAGCTGACCGCAAGGAAGAGAAGTCAGGCTACTGGATCCCAAACCTTCGTGGTGACCATGCTGCCAGAGAGGAACCAAGAATCACTCCCTCAGGAAATGCACCGTCACTCAGAGTCTCAGAGGAAAATGGCCAAAGACGTGCTATTTTGGAAGGTCCCGGTAATTCTCTCCCTTCTGAAGAATTCAGAAACACATTGATTGGTATGGGCTGTTTCTATAGTCTGTGTGTAGACATGTGCATACATATGTGTGTGAATGTGTATAGATGTGTTTGTGTGTCTACCTGTGTGCATGTGTACACATGTCTGCATACAGGTGTGTGCACATGGGGGTGGGGTGTGACCACATATATCTGGTGTGTGTGCATGTGTGTTTTGTGTGCACACATGTGTGCGCGTGTGTGGCTACATGTATGTCGGTGTGTTGCCTTTGTGTGTCATTGCCTACATGTATACATGTGTGCACATTCGTGAATGTCTCTATGCCACATGCACATTCCTGCACATGCATGTTCTTGGGCATGCATGCATGCAGCATTTATCTGTACTGTGTGCATCTGTGTGTGTATTATGCATGTGCATATATGTACACATGTTTTTGTGTCTGCATGCATGTGTATATACATGTGTGTGCACATATACAAAGCCTCTAACATTTAACTGCCACACTCACCATGAAAACCCAAGGATGCTGCTGTTATAAACTCATCTCTTCATCCAGGAGCCAGGGATCCCCAATACAGAAACCTGGTCCACTCACCTGCCTCTTCTCTGTTCCCTGGGGACTGCGCACACTCAGCACACCTCTAACATTTCCTGTCCCCACACCTGGTGAGCGTGTGCAAAGCCCCTTCCCTGTGAGGGGTAGATTCCATCCATGCATGTCATTGCATCGCACCCTGACCTGGGAAATGCAGGGACACCTGCTCTAACATCCCACTGGGTGGGCGGGCAGGATGGGTGGGCAAAACAGCCCTGGGGGCCACACACTGGGGCAAAAACAGACTCTACTCTCTCAAGGGCGCCCAGACTTGTGCCACGTGGAGATTCCCTCGTGACTGAAGTGGGTGACACGCAGGCTCTGAGCACAGCGCAGAGGCGCCGACCTTCTCCAGGGCAGGAGGTGCCAGGGGCCGGCAGGCAGGGCTGGCCCGGGGCCAGAGCCGGGGGTGAAGGGAGCTGTCCTTTCAGAGGAGGGTGGCTCGGTGAGGGTGTTGGCCTCTTCAGAGGGGAACCGAGAGAACGCCGAGGGTGGCCGGCTGCAGGTGGCCCTCCTGTGTGTGCATGGCAGAGGGGCTCGGGGTCCGGGGAATGTTCTGAGAGACGGCCCATAGACAGTGAATCTCTTCAAAGCAGTAACAAAGCCGTCCTGCTGGCTGGAGAGGGGACATGGCCGTGTCCTGATGGCCAGGGGCCCTGATTGCTACCCAAGGGCCCTGATCGCTGCCCCCCAGGCCCTGATCGCTGCCCCCCGGGCCCTGACCGCTGCCCCCACAGGCCCAGGAGCAAGTCCACATCCTTCTGTGGGGCGGTCACCTTCCAGTTCCGTGGGCACTACCACAGCAACCACACACGCATGGTGTGGCCGTAAAACTCTAAATGTTGGAGAACTCAGTGGACTCTGGGTTGTTCCCAAACCCAATTTCTAGCAAGGCACCCCACCTTTATTTTGCAGAGCAGAGCACTGGGTCCCCACTGCCTCTGGGGACCCCAGGGGATGGTGCTACAGACAGGAAGAGAAGCCACCTCCCAGCTCCCGCCTCCGCTCAGGCTCTGGCAGGGACGCGCCGCTAACTGCCATCCAGAACTGGCGGGGGTGGGGGG